ACAATCAATTACGGTTAAATGGTTATGACCCTTAATGGATCGAGTTCAAGTATGGGCTTATAATATGTGCAAATACCATATTTGTAATTTCTCATTTTATCATGGGTAAAATAAAAAATGACAAAAGTTAACGATATAAAAAGATGGTTATGATCTCCAAATTATATGTATAGTTTTATTTTTCTTGTTATCCCATCAACATAAAAAGAAAGACTAAAAAAAAATTACGTGTCGACTTTGAAGATCTACTGCAGAACACAAAGATCTCTTTCGCTATAGATTCAGGTACACTTCTGTGTTTATTCTCTTTGATTCAATATGATATTTGTTTACAGTTTTTGGATCTGTTTGATTTAAATTTTAACAAGTGGTATCAGATCCATCTCGTATTGAATATTTAAGATTCAAGTTTTTGGTTTCCATATTTGAATATATATGATTTTTATTTTAATTTTTGAATAAATTTTTAAAGAAAAATTTTGGATTCAAAACCAAATTTAAATTTAAAACAAATTTTTTTTTTTTAATTTTGATTTTTTGGATTCAGCCGCACGATCGCGCGACAACGTACAGAATGTAAAAACAAGGGGTAGCTAAAGCTGCGTAGGCCATTGGGTCACGTTTCGACTGGCCATCACAACAGGACCAGAACTGTCTTGTGGTTACATCGGCCAAGCAACTGCGACCTTCTGGTCGTGGTGTGCAAAGAGGATGTGGTGGCCATAGTCGCTGCATGAAAGGAGGGCACCCTTCATGCACAAAGAATAAGAAGAAAAAAAAAAGGTTTTACGGTTTCTTATGTTTTGGGTTTTGGGCTGTGGGCCCAATTTAGTTTTTATTTTTTTTCTTTTCTTTTTTTGGGCAATGGGCTACGACCCATAACAAACTATAAACAAGGAAGAAAGAAAGGAAGGGAGCGGAGGCCTACGTGCGCATGGGCCCAAAGCCCATACGAGTTTGGGTTGGGCCTAACCCAGTCCAAACTCGACCCGATCTAGACCCCAACCCCGTCAATACTCCACCCGGTCAAATTTTGACATTGATCGATCAATAGTCAACATTGACTTTAACCAATCAACGGTTTGTCAAAAAAAAAAATTTAAGGGGTCTATTTTCAGGATAATTTGCGTTACTTTTTATGGATATTTTTCTTCCTTATACAAAATAAATTCGATATAATTTTGAATTTAATATTGGTTGTATGTATATGAATTTTGAAATGAATTGATTTATACATATGTCACCAAAGTGACCTATCTTGTGTTAAGTTGATTTATTT